AAAACCGTGAGGGGCACTTCCAGGGTCATGTACTGCGGCAGATTCGAAATGATTTGAGGTTGCCATGACTGGGGAACAGCCAGCCGGACCGCTTGATACTCGAAGGTGGACACGAACTCTATCGAATCCTGGAAAGATGGGGAGTCATCAGGATGCATAGGAATGCATGTACCTAACAGATGGAAGAAGGAAACTCACGTTGGGACAGCTCTCCCAAGCGATTCCGTTGGCCTGAGAGTCTGGGGGGAAGTAAATTCTCAGAGAGTCGAGCTCGATTGGAACGCTACGATTCGGTGCGGGACTTTCAGGTTCGAAGACACCGCGAGCGTCGTCCAAGAATATGACCCGCTGACTGAGTTTTTTCAGACATCCGACCCCAGTCTGTTCCTCGTCTTCTGTGGCTCTCTGCACAGTGAAGTGTCCGATGAGCACATCGCTGTCCATAAGCCTCAGCAAGATGAATGTTCGGAGGAAACGATGGAAGTAGTTTATCCTTTTTCTCAAACTCACGTCCAGAGCTCTTTGCACATCGCGGCGACCCCTAGCCTCCACGGGTGTCAGCTCGCGGATCTGGACGAGAACGCGCTTGTCGAGTTGGAAGAGTTGAACATTCCTCTCAGCGGTTCCGCAATCTCTGTATCCGCAAGAGCTGTACATATCGAAAAATTGTCCAGGCAAATTTCTTTTCGGATTCAAATCACGCTCCCAAGAAATTGTTATCTCTCTGTCATTTGATTTGAGGATAAAGCTCTCCGTAGACAGATACAAATGAACACGAGGGAGAGTCAGAAGAAATTGAAAGTTGGTCGAGATGGCGCTGCTCGCGCGGAGCACGATCACAAAAGTCAAATTCCGTTTCGCTGCCGACGCAAGGCAGATGGCTTCACTGATTTGCTGGAATGCGGCACGAGCACTCCTTTGATGGAAAGGGCCGCCCGCGCCGACTGCATCCTTGAGAAACAGTGATAGAAGTAGACGGACCAGCAGCACGGAGGTGGCGATCATGACGCAGACGAGTCCTC